AAGTCCACAACAAGAAGTTTTCAAGCAATGGCCACGGCCACCCCTTGTCCTTCTCTTTAGTACTTCTATCCCTTAAATGGTTATGAATTAAACATAATAGGGGTGAGATTTTGAAGAAATCCAAATAGCAAAGAACATCAATCATAGTATCAGAATGCATAGTTAGTTCATGTCATATGTAAGCATTTAACTTATGCATTATCATGCCATTAATATGCCATTAACATGCTATGAAAAGGGAGCACATAACATATCATTTAATAACTCAACTATACATATTTGTCAAGACATCAATGCAAGGAGTTAAACACATCTCATCATCCAAAACTCAACCACATCATGGCACATATAAATAACAAAAACAATTAATGCAATTCAATACTAAAATTGTAAGTTCTTGCTATCTCTTAATAAACTTGAATCCTTGGTTCCTTCCTCTTATTCTCGAGCCATTTCTTGCTCAATGCCAATGCCTATCAAACAAACAACAATTGCATTCCAATCAACTTAACAAGTCCATTGAACACTTTAACCTAAAATCCTAACCCTTTAACTTTTATTTTAGTGTTTTAGTACAATCTTCTTTAACTTAACTTCCACATGCTTTTTCTATTTAGATTTATCAGAATCCAACTCCTTGTCCTATTTTTACCCTTGGCTGAGAGGTGTAGTTTGGAATTCAAAAATTTTATTTTCAATTTTAATGCTTCCAAACACATATTCTTCACATAGCTTTACACAATTCCACCTTTTAAACTCATTGGAAGCATCAAATTAACAAAAATCAAACCTAGCTCCAAGAACCAAGTGTGGCTAAATTATAACCCTCGGTTTCACAAGTTGAAATTCTTCCAAGAACAAGGTTTAACACTATTTTTCAACCATTTTCTATCCTCTAATCCATATACAACTTTTAAATCATTCATACCTCATTATGAACCAAATTGAACAGCACCAAACCCTAGGATTTGTAACCTTTAACATCCATCAAAATCATATATAAAACCATCAAACCATAAGATATCATAAATTAGGAACAAAATCCAAGCTCTTGCCTTGGTTTAGCTCTTGATTGACCTAGGTTTTGCTTGAACTTCTCTTCCTTCTTATTCTTCCTCCTTGGCTAAAATATTCTCCTCTCCTTTCACATGTTCATGCAGTTTTTTAAATAAAGAAATTTCACCAATAACTTTACATGGCAAGCGATTAAGCAAGTAAACAATAATAGAAAATGCCTCTACCCACATTTGAAATGGAAGAGATGCATTAGCCAGCAACATCAAATAGATCTATGCTTCCTTTGAGCAAGACCATTCTGCTCATGAGTACAAGGGTAGCAAAGCCAATGAGTAGTGCCATTGGGTTTCAAAAAATTACCAATGTTCAAGTACTCAACACTAGAATCAGATTGAAAGGCTTTCAATTTACAAACTAACTGTAATTTAACCATTTTCTTGAATTCAATAAAGACATCATATACTTCAGACTTCGTATGTAATGGATAAAATCATGTAAAGGGAGAATAAGTATAAGTAAAGTGAACATAATATTTAAAACTATCACAGGATATGTAAGGAGTGGGGCCCCTAATATCTGAATTAATTAATTCAAGAAGATTGAATTGAAGACAGATAATAAGAAAGATGATAAGCTTTGCCAAGACAACAAGCATCACAAAAATGATGCCTTAGGACTTGATTGCCTTGATATATAAAGGTAATCAGAGAGAGAGAAAATGTAGTAGAAGAAAACAAAGGCAAATGACTAAATGATATATTCTATATTGAATACAAGTGATTGTACAATATTTATATAGAGGAGGTAAAATGGTAAACTTATCACCCCAGGCACAAAAATGAAATTGGGCTAATGTCTAGCTCAATATTAGATGCCCAAAATGTGCTAAGAGTAGCTTAAAAAGGCGGAGGATTCTAATTGTTTATGTGGGCCAACGAAAACAAAAAATGGAGGTTGGGATGCAACTGGAAGATTTTAGCGAGGCCCGTGATAGCATCTCCATTACTCCCTTTTATTGATCCAGCCTGATAGTGTAGTTAAGTAGTTAGTAATGTTGATTTTTTTTTTTTTGGCCAAAGTTAGTAATGTTGATTAAGTTATAACATATTGTAATCCACTTGCTCTGCTTGCCAATCCACTTGCTTGGTGAGCACATGTCACACAGTAAGGGGTGTAACTAATCGTCAAACACTGTTGGAGCCTATTTGATATGAATGATTAAAAATGAAATATAAAGATTAAGATTGAGATTGAAAAAACACGTTAAAAAAATGTTTAGTATAAGAAATTACTTGTTATTTAGGATTGAGTAAAACTATATAGGTAGGATTAGGAAATACCATCTCCTCCCGAGTACCTCCAATACCACATATATAGGTTTGTTTAATATAAAATATTAATCAATCCCTCATACTAAATACATTTTTTAATATAAGTTTTTTACCATTTTACCTCCTCTATCATTATTTAGGCATTAAACAAAAATAAAATCTAAATTATTTTTCTTGAATTTATCAAGAAAGTAAGCCTTTAAGAAATTAGCTATAAAATTATTTAATTCATTTTTGAGTAAATAAATATTTTCATAAATTTTTTAAATGCTCAAAATAATATTTCATAATGTTTCCCCAAATTGTTCTAGCCATTAAATAGTTTTAATAATTATTTTTTCCTTAATTTCTCACCCGAATTAAGGTCTTTGACCATTAAAAATATTTTTGAGGTTCTTCTTAAAATAATTTCTTGAATCTGATAAATACTTGCTAACCTCTCTTTTTTAGAGTCTTAAAACTGGGGATGTTACACAAGACCCCTAATCTGAAAAAATTTAGGCAATCATCACACCTAATAGTTATTATAGATAACCATAAAATATTGCCAAAGTGTTATTTGACAATTATGATAAAAAAGCAATAAGGTCTTTTAATAATACATGATGGTTATCAAAGAAAATCCATTAAGTAATAATCCTCATATAACTCACATGGCTTTACGAGATGCCTTAGTAGAGAACGACGGCTTGGTACAAGAACCGTCAAATATGGGACCAAAATATTTGATGGTTTGGAACCATTCGGTATTTTCTCCGAGAATATTTGACACATCTATATATTTAATGGCTTGGAATTGTCAAATATAGGGAAAAAAACTGTCGAATATCTACAGTTCTATAATAGTCAATTGAGCAAGAAAACAATGAGTTACTCTCACAAAACTATCATTACAAGTAAAAAACCCTAAAAATAAAATTATTATTTTGTTATCTAGAACATCTGTATGATAATTTTCTATAAAGTTGTAATTTTCAAATTTTTGTTATCGTCAAAATCATAGACGTATACTTTTACGTCATGTTTTACCCTACATGCCTTTATTCTCCAACCTTCTGCGTCTCACCTTGATCCTATTACTCCTTCTGAGACCATTTACCATGTCATCTACTGGCCCCAAGGTCAAAAAAAGAAAATGTCATCTACTGGCCCGCACGCTTCTTGGGTTGCCGTCTCACTTGCAAGAATTGGGCTAATCATGGCAAGAGCAGGCCGAGTAAATTTTTTTTTAATTAATATCAAGCGAAAAAAAATTCCACTCAAAATAATTAATGAATTTTCAAAATATAAATGAATTCTTTTGGTATGAATAATGATATGCATAGATACAAATAGTAATTAGGTTAAGTAGAAGGGATTTAATCCTCTTAAAAATAATATTAAGGATTTAAACTTTCTAAATATAAAAATGTTGAAAGAATTGTTTCCAATTGAATATGAAAATAATCATATTTAACTCAATAATATCATATATCAGACATATAAAAAAATAATGAAAGCAACATAAATTCTTTTAAAAAAGGCTAAATCGTAAATTGATAGATGATCCATGCACTAAACGGGCAGTGGGCTTCTCCATGTCTTGCTTGACAAGCAGAATTTTTCTAACCTAGAAATCAGAAGGGACTAAAATGAATGTTTTAAAAAAAGTTGAAAAAGCAGAAAATCTTAAACAAGAGTGATGGCTAGTCGACAAAAATGACTAACGGCAATGATATTAAAGTGAGATGTGTTTTCGACTTTTGATTGGTCCCTTTAGTACGCTGTTGTACGGACTTGTTGGTTGTATCTTAACTTCGCTAGAGCTGGCAAATCCTCAGCCTATTCTTTTATTCCCCCACCCCCCCCCCAAAATTTCTCAGTTGAAGATTATCTAGTTAATGGATTCTCCACAAGAATCTCTTTCTTCTGCTTTTCGTTATTTTTTCAGCTCAGTTGCGGCTTTGGTTGTTTCGTTCTTTTACCAAAACAAGCAAGGGGTCATTGGTCTCCATTTTCCATTGCCAAAAATTCGCTTTGTGCCGTAAACAAGCACAGGTTTTTCTTCATAATTAATAAGGAAAGGTACGTTCCATTTTTGTTTCTATTTCTGTTCTCTTTCTATTTCTCAATTCTGAAGACAATAATCAACGGTTTCAGCTTCCTCTTGTTTTGCTTATCTTTTCCTTTGATTCTTTCGCACACCTTCAATCATGTTCACTTTCACGACTCTCGAACCAGTCTCTTATGGCTCTCCAAGATTTCTAGGTTTCTGGGCTTTTGACTGTTAGGTTTCTTGTCTTACCGAGATAACTTCTATTGGAATTGAAATTCCTTCTAGATCACGTCAATAGCCCTGAGATTTGCTGCTAGTTCAATAATTTGATCTATTTTCAGCCTACAATCCATCGTACACCCTTCACATACTGAATATATTCCGAGAATTGAAGTTTTTAACCTTTAAACTTATCTCTTGCATTTTCTATCGCATATAGCTTTCTGGGCGTTCTTTCAAGTCTTGAATCGAAATCTTATTTAATTTTCTGCTATTCCCCTATATACATATATATATTCTGGTCCTATTCTGATCCATAAGTTAATCATTGAATCTAGTTTCTCCTTCTCTGTGAGGACTCGGATCCATCTGAGTCTGCTCATTCGAGTAAATTTGTAACTTGATAAGAATCTTTCTAATTCACAGAGAGGTGTAAAGAATAAAGATGGTGAGAGGGAAGATAGAGATGAAGCGCATAGAGAACGCGACGAACAGACAAGTAACATTCTCAAAGAGGCGTAATGGACTCTTAAAGAAGGCTTTTGAGCTCTCAGTTCTGTGTGAAGTTGAGGTTGCTCTCATCATCTTCTCTCCCAGAGGCAAACTGTGTGAATTTTCAAGCTCCAGGTATATGTCTATATGTATATATATGTTGATGCTCTTCATCACTATCTGTTCTTAAGTTTCGCCAATCGCTACACATTAATACATGGTTCATGTGACTGCATCGATATCTTCCACCTTTATTGAATTAGATTGGGTATTTGTTCTTTGCACAGAATACTCAAAGCAAGTTTTCAAGTTTTATATTATATGCATAGAAGCTTTCTTGTCTGCTGGCCGAAAAAACAAAAACAGAAAATAGGAGCTTTCTTTTCCGGAAATCGGGTCCTGATTTTCTTGCAATTTGTGTGTATCTTTGTGCGTGTGCGGCATATTACAAAGTTGGGCTTGAATACGATTTGAATACGATTGTGTAACTGTTTCAAAGTTTTATTTTCACTGTTCATAGGGACTTAGTTTAATTTCATACGAAAGAAAAAATGGAGCTAAGCTTCCCGAACTCACCTTCTGAGCCAGAAAATAGGAACACAAAAGGATGACAGCAAATAGGTTTAGTTGCTTGTGTGTCATTTGCTGACATGAAGTGGATTGATCATACAAATGCTTACTTTTTTAATGAGTAAACCATATCAAATTTTGGTACTCATAACAAATCCCTAAATGAGAGGAAGCTTTGTCAATGTTGTTTTTTGTATTTACAAATTAATCCTGTTTGGGGTGTATGCTGCCCATCCTCTACTACCCCTTCTACCCTTTAAATTTTCCCTACTTTTTGAATATTTTTTGTTTTTTTTAATCATTAGATTCTACATAAAAGTGACATTTTGATATTCCATAAGCAAAAACTGATGCAATTTTTATTTATTTATTTATATAATTTTTCAAAGAACTTGTATTTAAATTAAAAAGAAACTATTCCAATTTTAGAGTTTTTTTTGGAAAAATTATAAATAAATTGAAAATTGCATTATTTTTTGCCCATGAGATATCAAAATGTTACTTTTTTTTTGCGTAGAATCTAATGATCAAAAGAAATAAGAAAATAAACATTTGGCAAGCGAGGGAAATTTAAGGGGCAGTAGAGGGGGCAGCAAAGACTTCGATTCCAAATTAATCTTGAACTTGAAAGCTTGAGTTGTGTTCTACAGCTTATAAGGACTTAGTTCTAACTTTACTCATATCAGTCATAAATTTAGTTAATGCATTTATAGTTAATATTTTTGTATAAAAATATATTGTGTACAGAAATAAATTGGAAGAATAACCGTTTCTATCAACTAATTAATTTTATTCATTTGCATTTTTGACTGATGTTCACTAAATTTTAACATATTTAATTTTCTTGATTTATTTTTAAAATGTCTTTTTTTATCCATTGTGAATGTTTGAACCAGATCAGAACCTAGTTTTTTGGTTCACTGATTAGATCAGTCGATCTAGCCTGATATCACCATATTTTGTCTTCAATTAGTTAGAATCAATCACTTAGGCTGTGGTTTTAATTTCATTCATCTCCATCTTGACAATTACGAATTAATTAATTGACTTATTGTTAAAATAATGATTTAGTGATGAAGCCTTCCCCTCTCCTCATTTAATCATGATATATATGTAAGAAATTAGCTTAGCTTTCATTCTAACAGATGAAATCTTAGATAAATTGAGGTAAATTGAAGTCAAAGCTTACGTGATCTATATTTCATGACCCTATATGTAATAGCCTGATAATGATTTTTTATGGGAGAATTGCAATGAAGGAACATATTCACAGAAAAGTCTCGTAATAATTGAGCAGTTTGAAAAGACAAATTTTAGAGTAAGAAATAATAACAAGTTTAGCTATTCACTTGTCATTGAAACTTTTAGTAACTATCTTCCTTCTTTGGGGTCTCATAACAATTCTCTAGTTTTCTTTTGGTCAAAAATAGCCTGATAGTGATAAATTTGTTCTTTTTTTGTAATTTTGAGTTATAAAAAAAAAAGAATAAATTTGTTTACTCTTGCCATTTTAGTAATATTAATATTAAGTCGATTTTTTTTTTCATTAGATTGGTATTCTGAACATTTATTTAACTCGTTTATTATCTATACTAGCTTTAAAAGGACAAAAATTTTTATTTTGGTCTGACCCTTTGACTGACTTAACCACTCTGCTCACACTTGCATCTCAATGAGATAGACTGTGATTATTTGATTCTTATAAAAATAAATAAATTAAATTATGACAAATATAAAAGTCAATATTATGTAAGACCGAGAATATTGCCCGTACAAGTGTATCATCGAACATAAAAGTTGTTGTTTCCTGAGATCTTTTCTTCAATTTATATGAAAAATTGATTAAGAGCAAACTGTTCAACGGATTATTGACCAAATTAAAAACATATTATAAAGTGGAAAAACGTCGAAATTGAAAAACGGTTATCAATTAAAAATATGCACATTCATTTCTCTTGGAAATTCCTGTGATCTGAAGGATGCATGTTTATTGTTGCTAAGCCTTTACGTACAAGTGATTTCCTTAATTATGCTTGTTTTTGTTGTGCAGCTTATAAAATACCGGAAATTTATTATATTTCTGTATTATCTGCTTAAATTTTCATTATAATTCAATTAATATTTTGAAAAAATAATTTACGTTTGTTTGGAATTGAAGTTCCAACCTAACCATGATTTGAACTAGAATTATGTGAGATTCATAAAATTTAAGATCCAACATGATCTTTTTTGTAATAACAATAAGGAAAAACAAAAAAAAAAAAACTATATATAGTACTACCTCCAGTTCTAAATATATGATGTAGTTTGTAGCATATTTAGGATGGGAGATAGTATCTTCAATGTATCACTATGATACAAAAGCAATGCAGGAGGTTGCCTAAGTATATTTATGAAATTATTCCAACTACATTATTTGATTTTATTGTTTATTATATGAACACAAGAAGTTTTGAGATTGGTTAGATGATATATGAAATTATATCTATTTGGGAGACTCTAAGGGTATGTTTGGCTCAATGAGAGGAAGGGAAGGGGAGGGATTTTAATGGGGGGAAGGAGAGGGGAGGAGAGTGGAAAGATTTTAATATTATTTTGTTTGTATTTATAAAAAAAAGAGGGGAGGGGAGGGAAAAATATTTTAATATGGATAATTTTGCTCTTATTTTATTTAAGATATGGGCATAATGGTCACAACATGACAAAATATGGATATAATAGTCACAACATGGCAAAATTTGAACATAATAGTCACAACATGACAAAATATGGGCATAATAGTCACAACATGGCAAAATATTGCTGTTTCCGTCCAAATCTTCCTAATTTTGGAGGGGAGGGGAGGAAAAATTTAAAATTTTTTTTCCTCCTCTCCCAAAATTTGTGTGTTGCCAAACAAGGAGAAATGATTAAAATCCTTTCCCTTCCCTCCCCTCCCTCCCAAATCCCTCATACCAAACACACCCTAACATAATATTCTACGTTTGGATATCTCCGGGTGTTCGGATAGCTTGTAGGAATGATTTGTAATCTGCAAATTTTGCAGAATATACGGATCAGGTAAATATGGTCTTAAGAATAAGGGAGAAAGACACAAAAATACACCTAAATTAAATCTGCAAATTCCAATTGATTAGGACCCCAAGATGGCTTAATCAATGTAAATCCCTATGGAATATGCATTTAAATTTTGTAACAAAATTGCTTAGATACCCTTAATTTGAACTTTGAAAAACAAAAAAAATGATAACAATAGTTTACAAGTAACAACGGTGACTTATCAAATGACAACTACTAAGACAATAACAACTGATCTGACAAAGATTTTTGTTAAATATCAACGACAATAATGCAGTTTAAGAAATAACAACCAAGGGCATTATGTTATTTCACAAAAAAAAAACATAATTTTAAAATAGTCTACAAGGACATAATATATAGGGATTCAACCATTTCGCATATTTTAGTAGTCCTTCTTTATCCCTAAGAACAATAAGAATTTCTCTTGTTTCTAAGCATGCAATTTCGAGCATAATTGTAATATTCTGCGTTTGCCCTTTTCCTCTAACGTTATGTTCATCACTTATATCACTCCAATATGTATGTGGGTATGTATATGTGCATGTGCGCCAAGAAAATAATATTAATGTCTTCACATTTTCATTCTCTCCAAAATAATTGCTTCCACTTATACAGCTTGAAGGAGACTATTGAGCGTTACCACAAACATGTTAAAGATTCTCATTTCTTCCAACAAAATATGCAGGTTCATAATAATAATTATTTCCTTATTTTGTTTATCAATTTTTCCTCATTTCTTGTGTTCTTTTTATCATCTTCCATCCTAAAGTAAAGATCTATAATTTTTTTTGTTTTTGCCAGAAAAGGTCTAGTGTTTAACATCTCTATTATTTGTCTCCAGTCTGGTGGTGATGTGAAAATTACATGTGTTTTCTTTGTATTAAAATGCTCATTCGGTCCTTTTCTTATTAATTTAATGAGAATCTCTTAATTTGGTGCCCTCATTTAAAATTACACAATGTTGTCTTCATATTTTTGAAAATGATCGTACTTTTTTGGATTTGGGCAAAATAGTTACTCTCTAGTACGTTTCATAATTATATATATATATATATATAATATGTTTTGTCTGATGTATTTTTTACTTCCAACCTAATGTATTAATATTTTACATCTAGTGTCCTAATTAATTATAAAACTTTCTAACTATAAATCAAGTTCTTCAAACTAATTACTTTTATTGAGGGTTATTTTAATATTTTATATCAAATAACTAATTTCATTAAATTCGATGTATGTAAAGTTTGTTGTGTTTATAACAAGTACAGGAGGGAGTATACCACAACACACATAATTGGTGAACAAAATGAATGAGAAGAATAAATTAACGTAAAGCAGACACCAATATTTCGCTGTACAGCATAAAAATTCACAAAATTACAACTTGGAATGAAACAAAATCTTATGAGTACAATATCTTGCCAATCTTGCAAACAAATAAAAATGACTCTCACCAATGCTATATATATGTGAACTATATAGCTAATTTGAATATATCAAGAAAATTAGTAAGTTAATTATTTGTCAAAAAATGTGCGCTAGATTTTCTAAAATATCCTCTCTTATCATTTTTATTGATATTACCCTTTGATGCAAACCCCTTTTAATATGTGTAACCAATTGAGATAGTTTAAAAAATAATTTATAAATTTGGGAGACAAAATCTTACATTTAAGACCAAAGTAAACTCCTAACTAGCTCCTACAGTGTGTATTTAGGATCAGAGGGAGTATTGTTTTTTTAAAATGAATTGTTTTCTGATTTTCCTGTCTCCAAGACGTAAATACAATTATAAAATTAGTTTATTTATATTACTTTTTGTGTTTTTTTTTTTTTTTGGTTTCCTTCAAAACTTGTCAATTAACACATAATCCTGAAAATGGCAGCGTCTGAATCAAGAAACAGCAAGTATGAAGAAGAAGATTGAGCTTCTTGAAGCTTCAAAACGGTTCCAAGATCAACTTAGAACTTCAATGAATTACGAATTCATTATTGTTGATACTCATTCACAATGAAAGCTTAATTATAGTTTGTTTCTCTGATTTTAATCTTTCAGGAAACTAATAGGAGAAGGTTTGAACACATGTTCCTTACAAGAACTGGAAGAGATTGAACAACAGGTGCGAAAGAGTGTCAGAAACGTCCGAGCAAGAAAGGTCAGTAATTTAATGTGCCTTTACACACACACACAGACACAATTTTATGTAAGTTTCAAAGTTGATTTTTATCTGATTCAACTTTATAAACATTTTTCAGAATCATATATTTAAGGAGAAAATGGAGAAACTACAAGAAAAGGTTAGGGTGTCCTTTGAGAAATGATTTGATATAATTGAATGTCTTCTTGCGTTTAGTTTTTTGTCGGGTGGGTTTCTATGCGCGTGTGTGGAATCTAATGCCCCATTTGGTACACTGAAACTGGACTGGAGGTAGAGAAATGGAATTAGAACTAGAATCAATACTTCGACCCGTTTAGTCGTTTAGTAGGTTGGAACTGGGTTTCATGGAGCTCTCAGTTCCATAAAAAACAATGGAACTGGGTTCCATCGGCTACCCCATGATCATATTTCCTCCCATGCCCTTCCCTCTTCCATATCCTTTGTCCCCCTCAACCTTCATCACTGCCAATCTCCGTTGCCTCCTACCTCCGTCAACCCCATCCAATCTTCTTCAACTAACGAAAGTCTCAGTAGAGTTGGATCTCGAAAGCTTCTAATGTGCACCATCTTGATCTTCGATTTTGACTTTACTTAGCTATGACATCATCAATATCTTCAAGTCAAAGTCATCCAGTCGCACTAGAACATTTTGCCGAGGGAGATCAAGTTGCCGAGGGTGCTATGACTTAGCTTCGTCGTCTTCTTCTCCCTCTTCGATCTGCGACTTTCTCCCATTTCATCTTCCCCTTCTCCTGATTCGATTGTTTACATTGATTATTGATGATGAGTTTTTGATTGATGAATTATCTTCTGGTCTTCCTTGTTTTCTGGTCTTTTTTTTTCCGGCGACGGAGGTGGTGAGGGCATGGATGGCGATCTGTTGGCAGGAGAAGTGGAAGGGATTTTTTTTTTGTTGAAGGGCATTTTGGTATTTTCATATTATAAATACATATTTTAATTAAATATTATATCCCACTTCCATCACCCTACCAAACATGTTTTATAAATCACTTCCACTTCCGGTTCCATTTTCATTTCCACTCTCATTTTCATCAAAACTTTTCTACCATACCGAACAGGGCATAAAAAATGATCCATGGTGTTGATGACTTGCAATGGATGCCGCTTATCATAAATTTTGTCTTTAATTTTATTGATCTGTGTGCATTTGAAACACTTTGATGGGAAAATTGGGGAATAAATATAGATGGAGTTAATCCTAACATGAAGTCTAACTGCATTATGCATCAAGTTCACATTTTAAATTTAAAGCGTGATTAGAGCTTTACACTACAAAAAGGCCAAAAGAAAAAAAAGTAATAAAAGACTTTGACTTCTTAGATAAAGTCCCACTAATAAAGACCAACTTGGGTTGGTCTCCCAAAGCTCGACTTGGTTCAACATAGAAAGCTAGAGAATAAAAGAAAAATTAAAGAATAAGAAGTATAAAGAGGCTAGAAAGACACCAACATATTACGAATAGATCATATCCCTAAATTACGCAAAGTAAAAACCATATGATGTACAATTAGATATTACCTCTAGTCCTTAATATTAGAGCTAGTTTAGAGTTAGATTGGATTTTATATATAAAATCTTAATCTACTTTGTTTCTTATTTTCCCCAAAAAATCCTTGTTGCCTATAAATGGTTCCCACTAAAAGGTATTCTAATGCACATAATTAAAGAGAATGGTTTAGGAAAGCTAACATGTATTTGTGATAAATAATTAACTTAACTAATTTTTTTAATATTCTTAAATTAATTATTTAGCTTTTATATTGAGGATCGGAGGTGGTACCATTTAAATTAAAGGATCTTCAAGTCCTCCCGTGCAAATAGGATAAAAAAGTCACAAATGAGCAAACATAAAGGGGGTAAACAGATGCATAGACTAGTCACTTGAGGCTAGGGTGAGATAAAACGTGGTTTGGGATTTAGGATTCAAAATCCTCCCAGCAAAACAAAGAGAGAAAGATGCACAGGCAAAATCAAAGGTAACGGGAAAAAAGAAGTTCATGTAATTTTTTGTCCTTGAAATTTGGACCTATTTTAGTTTTGGTCTCTCAAATTTTAAACCTATAATTTTAGTCCCTAAAATTTAATCCATCTTAAAATGTTAGTCTTTGGAGGTATAACTTAAAATTTGCTGAAGTGTCGTAAATGATGTTAAACTAATGATGTAGACTCACCAAATGGCACCTAACTAGATCTTATATGGATAAGAATAGGGCTTCAAAACGTGATTCAAATAATAGATGGGATGAGTTCTCATCAAAACACAACCTAGTGACCAACTTCTTAAATGAACGAGTAAAAAAAAGGGGCTAAACAACTACATTTTGAGGACTTTTCCCCCCCCTCTGTAATGCACACAAAAGTTAGATGCCATTTGGTGAATTTTCATTACCACTTTAACATCGTTTATGACATTTTAGTAGACTCATTACCACTTTAACATCGTTTATAACACTTTAGTAGACTTTAACACCATTACATCTCCAGTGACTAACATTTTAATATAGACTAAATTATAAGGACCAAAATCATGAGTCTGAAATTTGAGAGACTAAAAGCAATATAGACTTAAATTTCAGGAACCAAAAATTATATTAACCTTAAAAAAATAACACTCATCTTGGGATCAAAAGAAGAATAAGATGAAGGAGAAATTGAAACAAGAACAATAAGATCTATAAGGCTTTTGTATTTAATCATGAAAATGAAAACAAGGGACACCAAATTAGGCCAAATTATTTGAAGGAGATAGTGATCTAGCCTAGCCTGGTCTGTTCATTTCTTTCTTATGCTAGTTTTTTGGAACTCAGTCCAGCTGGACATGCTCAGGCCGAATCGAGTTCATGAGTTCTGAGTTTACATGAACAACCCCTATAAATGTTCACAGTTGGATTTGCATGTTGTTAACATAGTTGGACATGCTCAACTCCTCCCATGCAAAATTAACTTAGTTAATTCTAAACTTCAAACATGCTCTTTGATGTGGCTTGGATTAACAGAATAAAGAAAAAATAAAATTGATTAAAAGAAGCTTATTGTGTGTGTGTCTGTAGTTCAGATAAACTAGTTTGAAAATTTAGAGCATTGCACGTCACTTAATATTTAAAGAGAACTCTTCCCCTCGAAATTTAATACCCTTGGTCTGTATAAAATAATCAAGTAGATCGTGTCAATCACAAATATACATGTAAGTTTATTAGATTGACACTATTTCACCAGTGAAACTAAAGTTTGATTTGCTTTACATATTTCTGCATACAAGTCATCGTTAGTTAACTTATATTCTGTGAGCTTAATTCATCTATAAGGATTTCTAAAGGCGCGTTCAGATTTTAATTTCTTCTTCATCTATGTGTTTGACTGACGATTGAAATATTTCACCAGCAAAAATAAAAGTCGGAGGAAAATGCTGATCACATCTTTTTTTTTTTCCCTACACATCAGGAAAAACTCCTAACAGCAGAAAATGCAAGGCTTTCTGAGAAGGTGAGATCGTTGTAAATTTTCATCTGGAAATTATTTTAAGAGCTTAATTTCATTTTCAGCACCATCCTTAAGAAGCTCTAGTTCTGCACTTTCTGGTGCAAAACTGTGAACTGTTTCATGAGAGCAGTACTGTGTGTTCGGATTGAGGAACTAAAGGAGATGGAAAAGAAGGTCCGTTTGGACATTCTCTTTGGGTATAAATATATAATTTGATTTAGAATAAATCATTTCAATCTATTTTTAAAAAGGAAAAAGGTAGAAGATTTGCTGCGTATTATATAATTGAATTTGAATGAAAGAGACAACATAACATGGATTTTTCCGAGCAGTGTGGTATGCAGGCACATGTGGAGACTGATTTGGTCATCGGACTTCCAGAAACAGAATCATGAAATCAATTATGACATCTTGTACAGCTAAATGCTCCATAAGGTTGAAGAATGTGAAACCAACATATATATATATATATATATATCTGTATTGCCGACATCGACAAATCAATATGAAACTAGGGTGTAATAAGCATGACTTGTCATGTCATCTTCCATGATTTGTGATGTTCTCTTCATTTCTACTTGCATGCATAATCTATCAACCATTGCTTGCGCATTATAATTTCCCTACCTTGAGCATGTTTCTTTCGATGATAAGATGCAACCTATTGTTATTATTTAGTACTGTGAGTTAGTTTTCATAGTGATTTTAGAGTTGACTGTATATATTGAGTTCATATAGGATACTAATTAATGTAATGAAAGTTAACAAAATGGTTATTGATTAACGACAAAACTTAGGTCATGTTTTTTACGATGATTATGTCAAGTTCTGCAACTACACTTTGTCATGTGTCCTATTCTTTCATATGGGTTTAGGATTAAATGATGATACAAAAGAAAATAAAATGCAGGACTGTGTGTGATTTGAAAATTTGATATGATGATTATAAGAAACTCGATCTAAGCATTGTCCATAAACTAATGTGCAGGCGAAATAGGTGCTTTAGGATGTGATTGTGTGGGCGCGTGCGTGTTGTGTCGTAATGTGCCTTGTTATTTGGATTTTAACAATGCAATATATGGAAGCTACACAAGAGGCCTAAAATCAAATCACTCATCATTTGCTGTCTGCGGCTTCTCTGCTGCTTGCCGTGCGCTACTCATTCCTGCAATCTAGAGAGAATTAGCTTAGTCAATGTTACAGTAGTGGTATGAAGTTTGTGTTTCTAATTTTGGGGGAAAACAGAAGAAAGAACCAGCTTAACTCTCAATTTGAAAAAACAATCTTTTATAAGGATACAATCTGAGCCATTCTTTCTTGTTTCGATGATTTGAGCCAATCTTTCTTGCAACGAATTGTGGCCGTCCTCGTCCAAATTCCTTATTCTACTCTATATCTTGTATTTCTGGCCAACTTGTAAAATTTCTAATAGCCGTTTACCTTGGTTCTATAATTTTCCAGCTTCAAATTACTCTCTTAGACATCAAATTGGAGCCTAATTAATGCCATTTATTTTCCACTAGAAGATAGCCTCAGAATATAATAAAGCATCAAACAGTACATTGCTTATCAATTTTTAGCCGTAAAGATTCGTCCCCGAAAAGCTTTCATCATCATACACTAAATAACACTTACATTAGTTAACTTTTTAAGCATTTCTACATTTTCTCATCAAGAAATCCAACAGCACCCATCCGAAACAATACTTGCAGTTTCGATAATTAATCACTTGCCAAACATCATAAAGCATGATGCATGTTAGTAACTCATCCATTACAAGCCTATCCCATTAAGCAGACTTGATTTTCCATGGATTAACTCTTTTGTCCTTTACTTTCTCTCTTAGAACTCAACGTTCAATCATTATCTACTCCCAAAATATCCATTAAATGAAGAAAAGGAAGATGGAATATGATTCTAGATGCTTACCTTAACCTAAATGTGTGATTGCATGTTGCTCTATAAGCTCCTTTCTCTTCCTCCTCTTCCTCTAGCTCTTGTTAGTATGGTTGAACATTTAAAAGGAGGAATGAATTAGGTGTTAATAAAAATTTGGGAAATAAAAAAAAAAACTTAACTAATAAAACCAAAGTAGAGTGGAGGATATATCACATATCGTCTAAAAGAAGACTATGAGAAAATAATACGGCAGAGATTTATACTTATTTAGTCAAATCCTGACCTATATCCAGTACCTAAGTTCCATTTAAGAGTTTTACTATATCTTAAGATTCAATTGGCTTTTGGTGTCACAATATATCAACCACCTCTATACAAGAGGTGACTCCTTAATTCCAAAGGCAAACACTCCCTCTTACTACACATAAAAGTATATCCTATTTAGAATTTTATAATCTCACGATTCTAAGTAATAAATGAAGTCGTATTACAATAGAGTGAATTTTTGTTTCTCTGTCAAATAAAGTATTTCAGAGAATGTTGCAAAGAATGTTCTTTCTGTAGTTCACTTGTAGATTGCTTCTTGTTCTTCTCTTCAAATTTTCACTTCTTCATCCAATGCAATCTTCTATTTGTAGGATCTCTAAGTTTGCCCATTACACACATTGTATTTGAGATAAATAAGAGCATTAAATGAATCTTTCCGTTAAACCTTGTATATGTAATGGTCGGCAAAATTTAATGCTATTTGGCAAAGTACTTTTTTCTTCTTAATTTTTCTATTGGATTTTTGATATCCTGTAAAGTGTTTTAATATAATTTAAAAATACTTTACTCTTGACAAGACACTCTTTTAAAATAATTCCGAGAGTATTTTCAATTCTAATAAAATTATTTGTTAGTAATAGAATTCAAATCACTTTTGACTTGATCCCTATCTTAAATATATTTAAGTCAAATACTCAAACATACAACGTGGATTGCTGAAAATCAGGCTAAGATAAAATTAGAGTTAAAAACAACTCTTAGTGTATTTTCAATGTGTTAGAGTTGGAAACACTGGCAAAGATATATGCAGATAAAGAATAATGACTTTATGACTTGGTTTATATTTTTGGATTCATGTGAGTCAAATACTCAACACTTAGTTAAAAACGTATGAACCAATTAAACGACCTATGAAACTTTTAAGAGAAGATTATAGGCTAATTATCTTATCTTAATTTTGCTGCAAAATAAATTATTCTCTAAATTTGCTATCATTAAAACATTGGGTCTGGTATTCCAACAGCTCTCTTCCCCTCTAAATTCAGTTGCTGTTCAAAATGAGGAAGAGATCGAGCTACTGGGGTGTTTTTGGTGAGATTAAAACAATTATTTACTCATATGGTACACACCAACTTAAAGCAACCCCTTCACTCCCTTCCCCCACCCCCCCAAAAAAGAATTTCACTTGATCCAACTTGAAAATATGGAGCCTTGCTCTCTGTTTTTTTTTTTTTATAACTAAAGCATATGTATCTTCCTATTAGAAGCAATCCTATTTGAGATACTGTCGGGCACCAAATGTGGGCATCTCTTCCAGCGAGGATTCGAACCTTGGTTCGTCACGTTATGAGGGACTAGTCCCTTCTGCTAGACCCAACTCCTGTTGGTTTTGATTAGGCTGGATATGCTAAAACTCCTCAAATTGGGCCTGGTCTTGCCCAACTTCTAGCTTTTTTGGGCTTAGGGTAGTGAATTTACCATTTTATCCCTCCCTATCAATATTTAATTATGAATTAAATTCTAGAAATTAATCCTTAAAATATCATAAGGATTTTCTACCTTAATTAACTTAATTCTTTAACTTATAAAGTAATTATCATGCAAATTTTAACTTAGAAATTAGCCTCTAACCTTTTTTCCTTAAATCAAGAAAATAAGCCCTGATTTTCATAAATTAACTTTAAGATCATTTAAGATATATTCAAGGAAATAAACCTCTTCATAAACTTTCTAAATTCTCAATTTTCTTTGACATCAAATAATTTTAGTAATTATTTTTTTTTGTAATTCTCATCCTAAATCAATTTCTTGGCCAATAATTCATTCTTAAGGCATTTGAATTTAAAATTAAGCTTTAGATATATGTCTTAGAAATCTCTTTTATACTTTTCATGATTTTTATCTAATTTCTAGGTATACTTTAGCATGATATTTACTCTTATTTATTTTTTTTTGTTCATGAACTCCTTATGCTTTCAACGTTTATGCCAACTTGTTTAGCTGGTATTCAAAATTCAGGATGTCACATATCAATAGAACTAATTGCTATAGTGGTAGAACACCAGAGAGGGGGATGAATTGGCTAATATTAAAAATTTTAAGATTCAAAAACAATAATGCAAATGAAATAAGCTAGAGTTAGAAGAATTTTACTGAAGGAGTAGCGAGAGAGATAAGAACATAGTGAATTATATGAGTTGGTCTAACCACTTGACCTATGTCTAGTCCTCAAAATACCTCTAAAAGTCCCACTATAATCTTCGAGGCTCAATGGGCTCTTACTACCTCAATACAACAATTATATCTCTCAATCGCTCTCCCTTACTTCCCGTAAGGATGCAACTTCCTCAAGATTTCCATAATCTTGAGTATCTCTCAAAGTAAGTAATGAAAGCTTATATACTTCTCTCTTTACAGAGTAATGGTAATGATCACTGAAGCTCGCAAAATTGACTTTAGGGAAATAAAGCAATAAATGAACAAAATGAATTCAGCAACATGGTAGTTCGTTGTTCATTGATGCTCTATTGAATGCTTTATCTGTTTATAGTTTATCTTTATTAATTATCCATTAGACTTGAAGCATTGTTACTGTTGGAAAGATGGTAGAGAAGGTTAGTGGCTTGTAATGGTTGCAGCGCATTTAATGTTTCTAACATAAAGGTGGCTTAACCAATGTCATTTTTCTGTTGAGCTCTTAATCATGTGATGAACTTGCTTAAACATGTCATTAATAAGTCACAGAGTAAATGGGATTAGAAGAAAGATCATTGTAGAGATTAAAACAATTAACCTTTGAGTTATGCAAGAAATCTAATGATTCAATCTGATGAACGCTTCTTGATAAGGAACTTGAGAATCATAGTTCATACTAACATTATCGAGAAATATCAAGGAATGGAAATGCTAAAGTGAAAGGAACCTGAAGCATCTTATCAGGAAACTGGTTTCTTGATAAGTATATCGAGAAATACTTAAAATACTAAATAGCTTAGAAAGATTTTAAACACAGGTTTCTTGAGTAGCTTATGGATAACTGAAAGGAGATGGATTTGAAAAAATGTTTTAATAACTCAAACATCTTCTCAAGAATTGAAGTTCTTGATAACCGTCTCAATAAGACCAATTCTCGATAACTTTATCGAGAAACTAAAGAAATATTTCAAATAAGGCTTTAGACAGAACATATCAAAACTCGAAGTCTTTATTGTGAAATACATTTCTTGAT